ACAAAAAAAAAAAAAAAAAAAAAAAAAGGTGAGATTTTAAAAATCCATTGCCTAAGCTTTTATCCAACAAACTAGAAATATCAGAGTAATTAAATTACAACAAAATAGAAGGGATTAAAACTTAGAGGAGAGATCAATGAAATTAAAAAATAGGAAATCAATGGAAATCAATGGCAAAAACAAGATTAAAAAAAAAAAGAAATTGTCAGTTACTATCTAGTCAGGCTGAGCCAGAGAGAGAATATCAGTTAATAACACCAGCATGAAATTAGAGCCATCATTATGGAACACAGGAGGTCAAAAGTTTAATGAAGAAATAATCTGAGAAACTGTGCACATGTGTTTCACAACCAACAAGAAGTAGGTGACTCCTTGAGGACCCACTGGGAAAACATCCACAATAAATAAAAATCAACCTATATAGGTGCATATTATTAAAGAAAATGAAGGAATATTTGATAATGATCCCAAAACTATAGCAGTCCTAGAAGGCTTCCTGGAATAAATTCTTCTAGATGCATAAAGAAGGAATTATAACAAATTTCTGTAATTTAGTCAAAGTATATCTTAACTCCCTCTATGAGACTAGAAATACCAAAATAACACCGCATGAACATCACAAAAAAGCAAACGATCGAACAGCATCTCTCATGAACATAGATTGATAATCCTCAACAAATTTAATCTAATAATTTATAAAAAGAGCTAAGAACTGTGAATGAGTGCTATTTATAAGGTACGCAAGGATAGATAATCATTTAAAAGCAATTCATTTCATTTACCTTATTAACAGCCTGAAAAAGCATATGATCATATTGGTAGATGACAAAAAGGATTGAACAAAACCACTCACTCATTATAAAAGAAATCCCAGTAAACTAGGAATATAAGGCACCTTCTCAACTTAGTAAAGGAAATGTACAAAAAGCCACACAGCTTCCACTATAGTCAACAGTTAGAAACTAAGACATTTCCTATCACCAGAAGTAGCAAGGTAAGGTGTGCCCTGCCCACTCTGCTCTCCATTCTCTTGGAAGTTCTGAACCAATCGAATGAACAGGAAATAAGAAGCAAACAGACTGGTAAGCAGGACACCATCTAGTCTTCTTCTTAGATTACATGATCAGCTGCATAGAATGTCTGAAGGAGAAATTGTTCATGAAGCCCTGAGACTGCTGGTTGGAGGACTCTGTGTGACTGAAAAGGTGAAAACTGAAATTAAAAATACAACACCATTTAAATTTGTAACCTGAGAATAATATACTTAGGTAACGATGTTTTGTTTTTGTTAACCATAAACCTAACCAAGAGACCCATGAAAATTATAAAACTCTGATGAGATAAACCCAAGATCTAAATAAATTTAGAGAGATTCTAGTCCGTATCATTGGAAAGGAGAGCTTAATATACTAAAGATGATAGTTCATCCCAGCAGTTACATGCAATCTTGGTCAAAATCCCAAACACATATTTTATGGGTATTAAACATTGATTTGAATAATTTATGCAGAGGCAAAAATTTCAAAATACCAAGTACAGCGTTGAAGAAAAGAGAAAGATAGTTGGAAAATGGACAAAATTGCACTTCAGGGTGTGGTATAAAACTGTAGTAATCCAGAGTTATAATTTTGGCAAAAGTAGTAGATAATTAGATCAACAAAAGAGAAAAGAAATCTCAGAAATAGACACTTGATTACAGTCAGTTGATCTTTGGGAAAGGTGAAAGGGTAACACAATCCAAAAAAGATGGTATTGGATGAGATGAACACCCACATGCAAAAACTGAATCCGGGCACAGAATTTAATCCTTTGCAATCATTACCTCAAAATGAATCACATACATAATCAAAATTACAAATGGATTTCCTAAAAAGACACAATTGCCTACGTGACTTTGGATTTGGTGACACATTTTTCAATGAGATATTGAGGGCATGATCCATAAAGAGAAAATGGCTAAAATTAAAATATAAAATTAAAATTCCTTAAAGTTAATTGTTTTGTTCTGCAAATGTACTTTGAAGACACTGGAAGGTAAGCCATGGTCTGGGAGAAGACATTCTCAAACACAAACCTGACAAAGAAGGGAATAAAAACACACTGAAATCATAAAACTCACGAATACCAGAACCTTGTTAGAAGTGAGACAAAGGGCTTCAGGGTGAACACAGAAAGGACGCATAAGGAAAGGGAGGGGAAAACAAAACTACAGAAACATGCTCGGCAGAACTTCTCCTGGGAAACACGCAGAGCTGCTGAGGATGTGGAGAATAGGAGCTCACACTCGTGCTGCTGAGATGCGCTCTAATTGGCACTGTCACCAGGGAGACACTGAGTTAGCAGATGCTACACAGCAGACCACCCTGCTCCAACGAGATGTGGTTCTGATCTGTTTGTTCCCCAAAGTTTCAGGGGTTGCTGCAAGCCTGGCCCCCAGTGTGCAGTGCTGGGTCCATGGAACCTTTCCACAGTGGGGGTCTTGTGACAGGCAGTGTAGTTCTGCGGCCCCGTAGTTGGAGGGGAATCATGCTGGGTTTGAGAAGCGCTTCAGTCCTCAAAGAGTAAATTGTCACGAACACTAGTGATCCCATGCGGTTCCGCACGTGACCATCATCCTTTCCACTTCTCTAAATGTGGTGCTGCAGGAAGGGAAACTGTTCCAGGTGGCCAGCGCCATGCCCCTTAGACTTTCCAGGCACTAGAATTTTGAGCTCCCTCCGTGTACACTTTCATTATAAAATGTTAAAATACCTCACATATTTTGTCACACCAATACAAAGTGGACTAAAACATGATCTCTGTATCATGCTGATTTAAATGAGTTGAAAATTATGTGTACACCACAAGTATACAAGAATATTTAAGAAGCTTTATGTATAATTGCCAAAGTTAAGAAGCAACCAAGATGTTCTTACAAAAATAAATACACTAATAAACAGTGGCACTTTTAGACAGTGGAATTCTGGCTAATGCTAAATGAGGTATCAAGCCATGAAAAACACTGGAGAAATTTAATGTGCGTGGAGGGAAGGAAACCTATCCAGAGACTAAATGCTGCACATTTCCAACTGTATGCCTGGCTTTCTGGAATAGACAAACTATAGTCATGAAAATAACAGCACTTGTGATAAGCTAGAGGAGTGTGAAGAAATATTAGGCAAAACACAGAATATTTTTAGGGTGGTAAAGTTGTTTTGCCAGACACTATAATAGCGAGCACATGATCTTGTAAATTTTCCAAAATTGTGGCCTGTGAAACTCATGGAGTGCACTTTTATGTACATAGCCTGTGAGGGTACTGCTGGGTCACGAGAGGCTGTAACAATCCCCTCCTGGGCGGGGTGACTGATAACATGTTATGCATGACTGGGTACAGAGACACATGGAGCAATCTGTCTTTCCTCTCAGTTCCGTTGCAAACCTAAAGCTCCTCTGAAAAGTACAGCCTACTGAAAGATACTGTTCAACATGTTAAAGATTAAACCCACTGGGTGTTGACATAAGTAACATGGCTCATGAAGATAAGGTTTCCAAAATTTACTAAAAATAAGAGCTAAAGGGAAAGAAGATTCTGCAGTGTCCACAGTGATTTGTGCTCTGTGGACTGAACTTCAGGCTGAAGATAAACCTTTCCATTAGATTCTTCTTCCAGCCACCCTACAGGAGACTCTGGAAGGAACTGTGTGAAACTGTGTGGACCTGTGTGGAACTGTGTGGAAGAAGGAAGGTGTTTCCTCATCAAGAACAGGTTACACAGATCCAGTAAGGAGGCAAGGACCCTGGAGGAGGTCTCTCCAGCCCCCTGCTCGGGCCCACCTGGTGGGTCTGTGAGGCCCCCCACCGACTGTGCCCTGCCAGATCGAGTAAGGAAGGTAGCCATGCAGGCGCCTTACAAACACCCCCACAACGCCCTCCCCTTTCTCAAACCTCCTGATTGGGCCAGTCCTTGGACCCACTCTGCAGAGGCATAAGTGGGCATGAAGGATATTTTTCTGAGCTCACAACTTTGAACATCTTTAAAGAAAGGGCAGGGGAAACCTGTAATAGAACTGAGAGGAGTTCAACCCTGTGGGTTGGGAATCTCAATTTAGGCCTTATGGACTGAGGTCAGTCTCAGTCGTGGGGACCTGCCATTGGCTAGCTGAGATCAGGGGATTCGGTTCTGCACATGGCTGTACATGTGGTATAATATGACAACAGAGACACAGTCTGAAAGAGGCCCTTCAAATTCTTTTTTTCTTTTCCTCATTCCACCCTAAAATTGCTTTCTTTTTTCTGTCCTCTCTCTCCAACTCAGTCTCTTGCTGCAACATATTATCCCTCATTTCCCTTTTTATTCCTGCTCCTGCCCTAACTCAGACTTCTTCTTTTATTATTTTTTCTTTATTTCTTTATGTTCTTTTCTCCTGATATTTTACCTCACTCATGGCTCCATAGCTTCAAGGGAAGGCAAGTCCCTGTTACTGTTAAGGGGATATATTCTTTTCCTTATTCCTGCACTCTGTCTATCCCCTTTGAACTTAATAGTTTCGTAAAGATAGTATGGTCATTCTTCATCCTTTGGTTTCACTTCAAACCTTCTCCAATTCTTTCACTTATCTACTCCTCTCATCCTAACTCAGTCTAACCCTTCATCCTAAATGGTAAATATGCTATATTGAAAAGTGTATTCACTGCAAACATATTTTGGGCTGCTTTTTGATATTAATTTAATTCACATGGTTTAAAGGTGATAGATTAATGACTACTACAGTGGTGAATTTGAAAGCTGTGCTTAATCCTATTGGGCTGCTGAAGGTATCAATTGGGATAAAGGATTGTGATTGATTTAATGAGCTGTTTTCTCTGATATTATGAAAATGAGAATATCTGTGAGTCATTAGAGAGTCAAAAGCTAAAACACAACTGTATCAGGAAGATTTAAGTAATAACCTAGAAATTAAACCAAGGGCAATGCAACAACAAAAATAAAAATGAGAAAACACTTAAGCAAGACACAAAGACAGACTTCCCATTCACCAATAGCAAACAGTAGGGCAAATGAGGATGAAAAATCTGATAGTGATCCAGCAGGACACCCTGGACCCATAGCACAGGAGGTAACAAAATAGATCAATCAGGCTCTAGAAAAATTCAAATCAGAAATAATTTCCCAGTTAACCATAGAGATGATGAGCAAAATGGAAGTCATGATTCGAGACTCTAGAATAGAAACTGACAAAAAAATAGATGAGCTCAAGACCGTGATAGAAGCCATGAAGACTCAGCATAAGAAAGAAATGGAAACAATGAATGCCCAACAGAGGAAAGAAATGGAATCCATAAAACAGATTCAAACAGATATTCAGGAGATTATTATTATTGAAAGTGTATGCAACATAATAAAAGATTGTGAAGATAGAATTTCAGATATAGAAGATAGGATCACAGTCAGTGACCATGAAAAAAGAGGTCTCTCAAAAACAGTAAGGAATCATGAGAAATCGATCCAAAAACTTCTAGATGATGCAAAGAAAAATAACTTAAGAGTGATAGGAACCCATGAAATAGCAGGAGAAAACACAAATGACTTAAAAAAGCTCTTCACAGAATTAATGACAGAAAACTTCCCAAACAGAAGGGAAGAATTAGACATACAGATAAGTATAACTAGCCACAATAAAAAAATCTACACCTAGACATATAATAATCAAGATCCCAGAAATCCAAGAGAAGAACAAAATACTACAAGCAGTAAGAGAAAAGAAACAAATCACATGCAAAGGAAAGCCCATTAGAATCAGCAGACTTTTCAACACAAACCCTTAGGTCAAGGAGAGCCTGGAATGAGATATTTCAAATCCTAAAAGAAAACAACCTCCAACCTAGACTGATGTATCCTGCAAAACTCTCTTTCAAAATACACTGGAAAATAAGATACTTCCATGACAAAGAACACCTGAGAAACTTCATGAACACCAAACCAGCACTACAAGGAATTCTAAACAATATTCTAGAAAAGGACAATGAAGGTCATAATACCATGAGGCCCAACAGACCAAATCAAATAGGCAAGGCAAGAAACTAAAAGGAGAGGGGAGAAAAAGTAAAAAGAATCAACAAAAGGACAATAACATGACAATAAGTCAGAACATACCAGTTATAACCATCAATGTTAATGGCCTCAATTCACCAATCAAGAGAAATAGACTGGCAGAATGGATTAAGAAGCAAAATCCAATAATATGTTGTGTACAAGAAACACACCTAGTGCAAAAGGAAGCCCATAGACTGAAAGTGAAAGGATGGAAAACAATTCTCCATGAGTCAGGAGCCCAGAGAAAAGCAGAGGTAGCAATCATATTTGCAGACAAAGTAAATTTCAAACCAAAACTCATTAAGAGAGATAAAGAAGGCCACTACATCCTTGTAAAGGGGACAATTCAAGAGAAAGAGATGACAATCATAAACATATATGCACCAAATATAAATGCCCCCAACTATATAAAACAAATATTTAGTAACACAAAAAACCAAATAAGCACTAATACAATTTTAGTGGGGGATTTAAATACCCCACTATTGCAAATGGACAGATCATCTACGCAGAAAATCAACAATGAAATAATAGAACTGAACCAAGCTTTGGAACACATGGACTTAATAAATGTCTACAGAGTATTCCACCCCACAAAATCAGAATATGCATTCTTTTTGGCTGCACATGGATCATTCTTCAAGATAGACCATATATTGGCTCAAAGAACAGGTCCGAATAAATGTAAAAGAATTGAAGTCATCCCCTGTATATTATCAGATCATAGTGCAATCAAGCTGGAGATCAATAGCACAAGAAGCTGTAGGAACTTCACAGCTACCTCATTTTTGACAAAGGAGATGACCTTCCTCAGTGGAGGAAAGATAGCCTCTTTAATAAATGGTGTTGGAAAAACTGGATTTCAACATGCCACAGATTAAAACTGGACCCTTATCTTTCACCATGCACTAAATTAAAGTCCAACTGAATTAAAGATCTAAATATTAAAACAGAAACATTAAACTTGCTGGAAGGTAAGTTAGGCAGAACTCTGGAAGACATTGGCATAGGAAAAGACTTTATGAACAAATCCTCAGTAGCACGAGAACTAGCAGATAGAATCAACAACTGGGATCTTATTAAAAAGCTTCTGTACTGCAAAAGAAACCATCAACAGAACTAAGAGACAACCTACAATGTGGGAAAAAAATTTTACCAGCTGCTCCTCAGACAAAGGACTATTATCAAGGATATATAAAGAACTCAATCAATCAGTCCCCCCAAATATAAAGACCCGATTCAAAAATGGGCATCCATAATGAACAGACATTTCTCAGACAAAGAAGTAAAAGCAGCAAGTAAATATATGAAAAAATGTTCCACATCACTGGTCATTCGAGAGATGCAGATGAAAACAACACTGAGATTCCACCTCACCCCACAAAGAATGGCTGCTCTCAAGAAATCAAACAATAGCAAATGTTGGCGGGGTTGTGGGGAGAAAGGAACCCTTCTCCACTGTTGGTGGGATTGCAGACTGTTGCAACCACTATAGAGATACCTCAAAGAACTTGGACTGGAGGGTCCATTTGACCCAGCCATCCCTCTGCTGGGTATCTTTCCAAAAGAACTAAAAGAATCCTATCACAGTGATATATGTGCACCCATGTTTGCAGCAGCACTGCTTGTAATAGCTAAAACTTGGAAACAGCCATTTACCCATCAGTTGGAAACTGGATAAAGAAGATGTGGTTTTTCTATAAAATGGAATATTACTCAGCCATAAAGAACGAGAAAATAGATTCATTCATAGGAAAATGGACACATATTGAAGATATACTCCTAAGTGAAATAAATAAGTCACATGTGTGTAAATACCAAATAGTTTCCCTGGTGTGAATAAACTGCAATAATTCATAAGATCCTAATAAGATTACTGACATGGTGAAATGGGGAGAAAAGGGCTAAAGGTGTAGGGAAGGTGGGATGGGTAGGGGAAGGGTAATAAGGGAAAAAAATGTGAGATAAAGAAAAGATGGAAATAAAGTGCTTGTAGATGGGGAGGGGGGGGTGAAGGGAGGGCAGGGACAAGGGGAAAAAATGAGAACCAAGACCTGTCATGTAGAGGTACAAGATCCCAGCAATGAATGTAACTGTACTATATCCCTAAAATGTACCAATAAACTCTATTAAAGCTGAAAAAAAAAGAACAGCTTACAAAATGGGACCAGAGAGATGCAGGAACACAAGTCCTGGGCTATGAGGCAGGCCTACTGGGGACCCCAGCCACGGCTTCTCCTCCAGAGCATATAACTGTCCTGGATGAACCACAAGCTAGAGCAGATCTGAAGGCAGCACATATAAAATACAACTCAATCAGACCATTTTCCAATGATTCAGCATGAAAATCAAGCACTGAGGACTACAGGACTGGTCACAGTGCCCTGAGCTGAGTGGGACAGAGTGTGTGGCTTTGGCTTGATCAGGCATGAATTTATTACACCATCACTCTCCTCAGATCCGCAGCCAACTTACACCAAGGACTTTGGGCTGCCCCTTCAAAAACTTCTCTGTCATCCCTTCCCACAGACAGGAGTGCAGAGCAATAGGCTTCCCCAGCTGCGGCACAGCAGGTCCAGCTGCCACCGTGGTCTGCTCTGTTTGTTGCATAGTCACCATGGCAGGAGAGAAAGTTCTGGAAAACAAAATGCAACCGAGGATGAGGTCCTGGAAATGACAAGACAGGACAGGACACTTTGAGGTGAGTTCATCCAGAAGGGCAAATGCTCACCAAGTCTCCTTTTCTACACTGTTGCAGCTATGTGAGGATAGGAAAGTAAACAAGAGAATACATTAACACAGGAGCATGCGATATCAGAGTGATAGAAAGTGTTGAAAGTTAGAAATTTGTATAAAGATGAGTTACATAGGATGGGCTCCAGCACAAAAACTTCAAGGCCATAGTCCAAGGCTGTTGACGTGTTCTCTCTGCCCCTATTACACCCTCTTCACCGGGTGACACCCACTTCTGTCATGGAAAGATGACTTCATTGAGGTCATTGCAGTAAGATGTGTCTTGTAGTATTTAGTGGTTCAGGTACATTTTCAGAGCTGGGGCCCTTCCCTGGTCCATCTGTGTACTCACTGTGACCCCTGAAATCTGGGATTCAGTCATAGAAACTCAGAACTTTGAGGATGGAGTTTGTGGCTCTGAATCACATCCTTGCCACCTCATATTTAAATCTTTTGTCTTCTTACAGTGCTTTAAATGCTGGCTGATCAGCGCAAAGCAAAGATGCGCAACACTCTTTTCTGAATCTACAAACAGGAAATTAATACTCATATTTGTTTTTTCTCTGGTGAGCATACTGACTCCGCTGGTTTCTACAGACAGGTTTAATGGACACGAACTCTGTATGTGCTCATTTGAATCCATATTCAGATGCTACAATGTGGATTTCCATAACTGTTGACAGAAGTGCATCCAAGACTCTTAAAGCCACAGTGGATTCAGATAATCTCTGTGCTTCTCTGAAACCATACTCACCTCGTGCTTATATGTGTGCACTTTGTTGCCTTCACAAATATTTAAAAACACTTTATCTATTCAAACTGCCTGTTTTGAACAGGAGTTCAGCTTTCTCCAGGTAATCAAACTGTGTTTGTGTACGAGAGACCAAAAGAACTGTTATGAGCTATTTACAATGCAGTGGACAGAGATCGGAGGATGGAGTTTGAATGTAGGCAAAAGCCTGGTGGATATGAGTAAAAAGAGAAGATTAATTATGCAAAACATTGATTTTATTACCTGTTCAAACTTATGGGTGTTGTCAAAAGAGAGTAGGAAATTACAAATCATAAAATATTATTTTAAAAAGCTAGAATACTAGAATACAGATACCATCATCAAGAACTAGTAAAGAACATGTGTATCACTGTGAAATACTAAAATCAGGGTGCAGATAGGAGAATGAAACCAAACAGTCATTTTTTGTCTTCTCTTTAAGTAATTTTTCAAAAACAATTGGGAGAAATGGAATTACAACTCCAGTTTTAGTGAAAGTTAGAAGAACATTTAATTGCTATGTCAGATGATCGTTAACAGCCACGTTAGGATGGATTAGAGGGCAATTGCAGAGACTGTGTCAGTGCGGCAGGACACCATGGTTAAAGAATTCAGAGTCCACTTATTCTAGGTGGAAGACTTTCTGAAATAGAAAACATGGCATGGTTCACAACCTGGGCGTGAAGGCAGCAATTGATAGTTGTGATTTCCCTGCACATTTTGACGGTTATGCCAAATAAAATTTCAGAGAGAACACAACAAAAGGGCTCATTTGTAGGAAGCAATCTGTCTCTGAATAATTTTACATTGGAGTTCATAAGAAAGAAACAAATATTCCTGATATCAGCCTTCTAAAGTTTTCCTCATTGTGATCAGCTCAGCGTAACATTAGAATCAAACATCAGTAAATCTAGAAAGGGCAAGAGTCCACAAGACAGCACCATGAGAGACACCAAGGCGAGTGTCTGTCTCCGCACGAGACATTCCATGCAATGAGCACCACCCATGTGAGGGCACTCCCCACCTGCTGGTTTCCTGGCCACTCACTTTGTTTCCGAACACTCAGGTGATGGAACCCTACCGATCCGCTTCCCAGAATGTATCTGCACTATTAAGTGATGTATGACAGTATTTCAATCAAAAGTGAATCCCAAAATGGAGAAGTCAAAGAAAAGTATAAAAAGACATGTGAGAGATCTAACAGACAGCTCAGATTTTAAAAGAGAAAACATAGTGCTGATATAAAAATTGCTTAATATGTTAAATAAAAATGGCAAGAGGGAAAGTTAATTGATAAGTGGCAGTGCAATTCTGAAGAAAGGAATAGAGGCTACATAGATACACAAGAAAAAGGGCATGATACAAGAGAGTTTAAAAGTTTAATGTAAAACTCACGAGATCGAAAGTACTGCCAACTATTCTGCAGTAGAACTTCAGCCTGAAGGATGTGGGAGTTCTTAATGTCTATTCTCTGTCCTCAGAGAGAACCAAAGCCACAAATGCACAACCAAGCTTACAGCAAACAACTACAGAAGAGCTTCATGAGGCAGGAAGGGAGGGGCAAATGTCCTGTGAGTGTCGAAATCTGGGCTGCCTGTTAGAAGTGAGGAATCACCCTGCCTCCCACCTGGGACCAGCTCTGACCCAGAGCGAGTCCTCTGCAGGAAGAGGAAGTGAGGACACCGCCGTGGCGGGGCTCACTCTGAAGACCCCAGCAGTCACCTCAAGCGCTGAGCCCGCCCAGGGGCCCAGAGTCCACCCAAGGTTGTCACTCCTGTGGTTACCAGACAGGGAGCCCTCTTCACACCTCTTGTGTTGTGGGTCTCGTGGAGCCCGAGCTGCTCCTAGGAACCGAGTGACTAATAGCATACTTGTTCCATGGACAGCTGACCTCTGCACCCTTCAGTGCCCGAGGGCTCTGCACCAGTGCGCAAGCCCCTCCTGCCCACCATCCAACGGAAGGCTTCAGCTACAAACACCGCTGGATCCTAGGTGCCCTGGAGCTGCTCTACCTCCCCACCATGTTCCGGTGCAGCCTCATTCTGAGGGCGCAGGCATGAACTTAGTCCTTCCTGACTAGGATGCAGAAAAGTGGCCAACTAGGGCAGGCACAGACTCAACTCCCTGTCTGAGGCCAAGGGGACCCAGTGCCTGCCCTGCAGAGACCTAGAGTCACGGCTGTCCAGAGCGATCGAGCTTCCTGCTCATGGGCTGAAATGGCCCCTGTGCTTCATGGGGAAGCAGGGCCTCTTGGGCCTTCGGAGGTGAGGTGACATGGTGATCCTGCCCCAGGGAATGAGGGCTTTGGGTGGTTACATCCCACATTATGGTCTGAAAGCCATGTGTGCCTCCTCCTGGAACCGCGCTACTCCCCCAGACTGTGCTTCTCAGGCCTCCTGAAACCCTGGAGTGGAGACTGCGTTGTGGGGCTCCATGAAGCCCAAGCCAGGGCTGTGCCGCGCTGTTCCTGGGAGTCTGCTGCTTGTACCTGAGCTCATAGGGGTTGTGGCACAGCCGTGACGACCTCGCACCCTCCAAGTTTCTCACCCTGTGGCTGACACCCATTTTGAGTTCTCCCATGTGGCTTTGAAGAAACCTGAGGGCCTCAAACGGACCCAAGGTCTGGAGTCTCCACAGACTGCATCTTTCTGAGAGCCAGACTGAGGTTGTACACAGGCCTCCAATATTGGGGAGTTAGGTTTCCAGCTCTGCCCAGGTTGCCCAAGCCTCTGGGCTGGGCCCCAGCGTGCAGACCACAGAGTTGTGGGAAACCTGCATCCTCTTTTGCCTTAGTAAGAGCCAGTTA